AATTCTCTATCCAACGATGCCAAAACGAATTCTGTGGCTCGAATGGTTCTTGAGAAACTTCGAAAAAAGTAGCGTCATGTTCAAGTGGATTTTGCAACTCAAAAAAAAACCACGCAAATCTAAAACTTCCTGAATTCAAGCCTTTTTTGAGAAAACTGCCAACGGGACAAAAAAAATGAAATTTTGCAACAATCTTGCGCCACCCTAGCACAAAACGACGATCATTTTTATAATTTCAGAGATAACAGAAGACTGTATTTTTTCTACATAACCCCCCCCCCTGACTTTAAAGCTGGATCCGCCCCTGGGATAGATCCCTGTTCCCTGAAGACCTCGTTCAAGTGCAGAGGGAAAGAAATAAGAGTTCTTAAGGCGTCTGTGTATTCAGTATTTATTCATGTCTTTCTGTAGAAGGTAGAGTAATTAGCCCATATCGAATTCAACATTTCCGTGTTGTTTTTTGTGGAAAGCATTTACGTGACACTTTAGCCTTCGCAAAGATTAGCGATCAAACACGAAGAATATAAAGCAAACAACCCCACCAAACAATTAATAGCGCCACACGTTAGCTATTAGCAGATTGGTGAAATAAATTTAATTACCAAGGGCCCAAGAAATAGATAAAACTCGGTCTAGGTAGGGCTAGAAAATTAATGGAAAGTCATCATAGGGCGTAATTATCTCGATCAGATAGTGCCAAATGTTGTGTAACTATAAAAAATTGCCCCGAAGAGTCCCATATGCCGGTCCAATGCGCGTTAAGTTATTTCGTTTCCGAAATGTATGTCACTTTTTTTTTGGTAGATCGCATTAAATGGAGCAGGCAATGCGTCAGGCATTAACACCTTTGGACTTCTTATGCAGATATTTACCTACAAGTAACTATTTTTTGAACAGTAGGTGGCTTTAGTGGTAAAATGTATGTTGGGCTCTACAAAACGACTTCCCTAATGCTAAACCCCGCTCATAAAATCCTTCAGGAAAGCTGACAAGCAAAAGTGAAATGAATTGCGCGCAAGCAACAACACCTGCCCATGAGAGATTGAAGAGATCTGAATTGGGGAGAGGAGAAAAATCGTTAAGTTGGAAAACCTATTTACACATACGGATGAGCCCACAATCGCAAAAAGTCGCGAAAATGATGGGCTGAAAAAGGGCATGTTTTGCCCAAAAATTTTGTTTCTTGATGTCTGGAATTCGTTTTCTCGAACGCACAGCGAGACAGTTTTTGCCATTTTTGGATTCTCTTTAAATGCTCAATAGGCGCAAAGCTGCAACAAATGTGCAAAAATATTTCTGTTGTATTTCTTGGCTCAGAGCCGGATACAATTCGACGTAAACATTTTTAGCGGTAGTGGAATAAAAATAAAAAATCTAGAGGATTTAAATCCGGCGATCGATCAGACCAATGTTCCGTAGGTACCTCTCCAACTTATCCACCGATTTGGATATAGATAAGTTCTATATTGTTGAGGCGGATTCATTTTTTTACAAACTTCTTGTTGGGTATTTCGACTCAAAAATTTTTGTCTTTAAAAAAGACAGAATTTTCTCAGGTCTTCTATTCCAGATTGATAAATAGTGCTCCTATTTCGGAATAAGAACGAATTATTTATCAAAAAGTAATCAAGAACTATCACCTAGAGAGTATCCTGCGACACACTTAGGCTCAAGCTGTAAGAGAAAATTCCAATTAGTAAAGAAATTAATTTGAAAAATTACCTTGACGTTTCGATAGCTATTTTCTACTATCTTTATCAAAAGAACCTAAATGAACCTAAAAAAGAGTATGTTAATAAATTGTGCAACAATAGTAGGATAATACAGTATATGAACATTAGCTCTGATAATTCGTCTGTGCAAATTGTCAAAAGTCATTGTCGTTCAAAAGTCACATAACTGACAATTTGCACAGACGAATTATCAGAGCGAATTTTCATATACTGTATTATCCTACTACTGTTACACAATTTATTAACATAGTCTTTTTTAGGTTCATTTAGGTTCTTTTGATAAAGATAGTAGAAAATAGCTATCGAAACGTCAAGGTAATTTTTCAAATTAATTTCTTTACTAATTTGAATTTTCTCTTACAGCTTGAGCCTAAGTGTGTCGCAGGATACCCTCAAGGTGATAGTTCTTGGTTACTTTTTGATAAATAATTCGTTCTTATTGCGAAATAGGAGCACTTTTTATCAATCTGTAATAGAAGACCTGAGGAAATTCTGTCTTTTTGAAAAACAAAAATTTTTGAGGCGAAATACGTATTTCGCCTTACAAAATTTCGTATAAACTATCCTCCCAAACTAGCCTCGTCAATAAACAAAACTTCATTTAAAAATTAGGAATTTCAGCGATTTGATGAAGAATCCATGGGCAAAAAAATCTAAATTTTTTATACTATAGAGAAGAAATTGTTCACAAGTTTCACATAAATATTGAATAAAACATCATTAAATCTCGTTAAAATTGATAAAAACATTCTGAGAACTTTGGTTGAGAATTGGAATTCAGGACGAGAATGTTACAAGCTTAAAAGACTTACTCTGGAAGTCCTTTTCGACAAACAAAAAAATCCTTTTCCATTCATTTCTGCATCCAAACTGGGCACAAAATTGTTAAATCCGTGATGTAAACTTCAAAATAACTTTCATACACCACACTGTGCACTTCAACAGGGCAAAATATTCAATCCTGATTAATAATCGGCTCTATGTAAAAAAGGCCGTGGTACTACTTGACAGCAAACGTCGGATATTTTGAAATTGTCGCGTTTTGTTGCAAAAGTCGCATTATCAGTCGCCCAAATATCACAAAACGGTAAATAGAAACTTGCGGAATCGGAAACTCAACGACTTTTCGCTTGAAAATTAAAAATTTGTAGGCAGTTTTCTCATGATTTATTTCAACGCAAAATTCCAGTTTTATATTGGGGTTTTTAGTTATAAAAAATGTATTTAATTAGATTTTAATAGACTTAATTTTTTTAGCTGAGTTTACATAGAAGAAAATGTGAATTATTCATTATGTTGCGTAAAAATGCAATAAATTCTCGTAAAAGTTTCGTTTTTTGGAGAATGGCGGTCCCTATCCAGTTATAGCCGAGATTGCCGGTATCCAGAAAGTGAAGCGGTAGATATAATAAAAAAACGCCATAGATATAAGGAAAACACATTACTATACTTTCAGGAAGAACGAGGCCCTGGGGACAGCCGGAATAAACACCCCGAGTATTATTTGGAGACAGTGAAGGTGTAGTTGCGGGGACTTTTAGACACAAGAACCCATTAAATTGATCTGCAAATTTATTTGCTTGTTTCGTCAGGCAATTCAGTAAAACCCCCAATATTTTATACGTTGATGCAAATGCAAAATGACTCCCAAACTGTTATCTCAAATACAAATATAAAATTCTTAGTCCACAGCTCGGTATAAAAACAGCTATTAAGTTGCGCGGTTTTTATATTTTTATGTCTAATTTTAATATTTTTTTTCAACTAAATACATCGATTAACCACAAAAAAATTGTGAAAATCTGAAAATAACATAAACACTATAAATTCAAATAAATAATTCGAAAATGGAGCTAGGGTGCTGTGTTGTCTAATCAGACATCTGACTATAACGGCCTGAAACAGCTTGAATTAATCTCAAAGGTGACATTCCGTGTTTAGGAAGGAAGAGAATTTAAGATCTTAACCAACAAATTCCGAGTTTTTTTCAAAAAGTTTCACAGAAAGTTTTACAGTGAGACGCGAAAATGTTCTCGTCAATAATTAGAAAGGTAACGCCATGTACAACCTGCATGCACAGTTTGCCGACTATCGAATCACGACACATTTGGTTCTAGGGCAAGTGTAGTACCGGTTTATAAAAATTCGTTTAATTATCACCAGGATTCTTTATCTGGGTCACTTTACTTATTATGTCACATTTATTCGTGTTACCATTGAATATATAGGAAAAAACACATTGACTGCAAAACAACACGCTTTACAGAAGCTTTTTACTTTGGTACATGCTAAATACTCAACGTAAAGTTGAGCTTCCAAATTGCAAAAAACCTTTTGGGTTTTGTATGGGCTGGCACTTGGCTCTGGTTTAATTACTGCACAGTAATGCCCGTTTTTTACTTGTTTCTTGAGGTTTTCTACTTTTTAATTTTTCCTTACAACTACATACAACATTTTAGGTTTTTTTTCACTATCGGATGACTTTCAAACGCACACTTATTCACGATATACAGAGTAAAAGTTACAAAAATATGTAGACATTTTCATATAAATAAATATATTTAGATATACATATGTATAGGTGTTGAAATCAACATTTTTCTTAAATTTGGAACTGTTAAGTTTTCGCGGCTTTTAGACCGCCGTGAAAAAGAATTTCCTCGCCAGAGAAAACTCACCAGTTTATACCAATAGCAGCAACAAAATCTTTGTCTTAAAATTATAATCAACGAGTTTTCCATTTGGATCCAACTAAAGAACACATTGTATATAGATATTTATTTTCAAACAACAGGTTCCCCAGTTGGTTAAGCTGGCAGCCCCCCAATGCAAACCCACATCACTTATAAGAGCAATTTCCATTTGTAAGTTTGCAGTCTGGATTTGTATTCCCAATTTACTGATGGGAAACTGTTTCTGATTTTGATTATTAGCCCATCAATATTATGCGCCAAGGATTCAAGAGCCAGCTCCAAATTTTGCGGGAACTGCAGTGATTTCGGCTGATTTTAAGAATATTCAACTTAGTGACTATAAAGGAAAATATGTGGTTTTGGTCTTCTATCCACTTGATTTGTAAGTAACGCAAACTTGACTGCTAAATATACGAAAAGTTTTCATTTTAACTCCAAAATGTCACCATAATTATTTGCCGACTCTAGCTTAACTTTATAAATTTTGAAAATAGAATGGCAAGAATCTCTAAAACTTTTTAAAGTTTTTTTAACACAAGTCCATGAATGCCTCAAACAAAGTCTGAACCTCCGCTAAAATCCCAATGTGATATTGATCAGATGGTGTAATAATATTATATAAATACAGAAAGTATAAACGAATACAGTAAAGAGCATTGACGCATTATGCATTGATATGAGACCAAATTAAATGGTGATTCTCACATATTAGCTAAATGTTTACAATAATCCCGGCAATGTTTACTTAAAAACGCTCCAAATAATTTCTTCAAGTAGATATTTATTATTGTTACTTGCACAGTGTCTATAAGTAACGAATAAATCGTGTAAACAGTATAGAGAATCATGACCATTTCACTTGGAATTGACCGACTTTTAGTTGTAAATTCCCAACTTTTGGCGAAAACAAAAATTAATTTTTAACTGAGCACGAAGAAAAATTCGCATACAATAATTATTTTAGCACATTTGTTTGTCCAACTGAGCTCATAGCTCTGGACGATAGAATAGATGATTTCAAGAAATTAAACGCCGAAGTCATCGGCTGCTCTGTTGATTCACATTTCACGCATTTAGGATGGATGAATACTGAAAGATCTGTAAGTAAATACTTCTTCTAGAGTGTTAAGAATCCAGAAACGTTTTAATTTGAATCATTTGTATTTTATTTCAGAAAGGAGGTTTGGGGCCTTTAAGATACCCTCTACTCTCTGATATGAACAAAAATATCGCTAGAGACTATGGAGTGTTGCTGGAGAAGGAAGGCATTGCCCTTAGAGGGATGTTTATTATCGACCCTAACGGAGTTTTACGACAAATCACCATCAACGATTTGCCTATTGGCCGATCGGTGGATGAAGCCCTGAGAATAATCGAGGCCCTCAGATTCGTGGAGGAGCACGGAGAAGGTGCGTGAATGTTTTTTTTATTTCACTTTTCTGGAACTCTTCCACCTTTTTAGTCTGCCCAGCAAACTGGAGGAAGGGGGATAAAACCATCAAACCCAATCCGAAAGGATCGCTGGAGTACTTTTCGTCCAGCAACAAATAAATAAGTGGTGCTAGAATTTTGGGTCTGCTAATATGAGCTAAAAATGTTTGTTTTGTTCATTAAACTTGAATTTTTCCGTTTACTTCCTTGAATAGTTAATCCCCCATTTGAATGGTATCATTGTCAGTAAAATAGCCGCTTGGTATTTATTTACAGAAAATAAATCTCAATAAATTGATTGATGATGAGTCGTAGGCAAATATAGATTTAATAAATCGCAGCTCTTAACTGCAAGGTTCAAATCAATCACGGCATTTGACACTTTCTGGAGCACAATATTAACAATACAATAAGATACTTGTTTAAGATAGCAGCTGTGATTGGCATTTCTGGGTATTGCGTATGTTGAGTGTAAACAGGCAATCAAAAAAACCTCAACTATTAAATGGAGATCACATAATATACTATTAAAATACATACATCTAGGTATCACAGATAAGTTGCTAAAGCGCCTAAGATCAAACCATTGATCCAGCTGCTCTGGATGCGCTGAGACTGAGCAGATTTTGCCGCTGCTGTCCAGCATTTACCACACTGAGCGGTTTCTTCGTTTTTCTGCGGAAGTAGCACAACCATACGAGCAACGGCACGATAATCAAAGCGAGTGGAATGAGGAACAGCAACGGAAAAGAGTTGCTATTGTTGTTCTTCCCATCCACATCGGGCACGGTGATTGTTACATATTTATAGTCTTTTCCATACTCAGTGACGGCCAAACACGCATATAACCCACTATCAATCTCCTTTGCATTGAAAATGTTCATTTTACTAATGTACGTGTTTCCAATGTTATAAGAGGACGCGGTGATGTTGAGGTGGCAGTAGCAAATCCCGTCATAGTCTATATCGCATTTCGAACCGTAACATTTCTTGAACCAAATAACTGTTGGCGGAATAACGCTGGTTACGTTACACTGGATGGTAAACTCCATGTTTAATTGGTTGGTGATATTGGAGGTGAGAAGCGATTGGACTGAAGGAGGCGGGCCCTCATAGCTATCGGCTCCTTAGAGAATGATCCTATTAGTAGAACGTCTTCTAATAGTCAAACGCACTCACCTACTACTTCAATAATGAGGGACTTTTTCACCACTCCTTTCTCGAGGCATCGGTAGAGGCCACTATCCGCTTTGTTCATGGAATCAATTTCCAAACGCTGCTTGGTACTTTGCCTTTTCCACGAATCCTTGTCTTTTACTTTGGGCTTCGTCAGGTCGTGCAGATTGCAAACGATGCCTTTGTAGAGTATTTCACATTCCTGTAAAATGAAAAGAATTTCTTCCAAACCTTTTTCAAGCACGAGTGGCTTGGATCTTCCCCAGATAGCACAAAATATTACATACATATTTCGGAAATATTTATATGTTTGCTAAATATTTCAGATCAAAAGCAAGTATTTTTTAAATATTTGTTTCTTATATTTAATTAGCATGAAACAAATACTTTCTGTACCTATAAATAACAACCTTAACACCCAAAAAGTTACTAATATATTATTTTTAATAAATGTGAACAAACTTTAGAACATATTATCTGAATTTTCATTGATCAATGAATAGCAAATATTTCAGAGCAAAAGGAAATATTTTATAAATGTTATTTAGAAAATATTTGCTTCTAATATTTAATTAGCATGAAATAAATAAAATAATAATAGGTTTTCTTAGTACGGAATACTTTTTGTGTCTATATATAACACCACTAACACGCAAAAAGTTACTAATATATTATTTTAATAAGTGGGAACAAATTTTAGAACATAATATTTCAATTTTCATTGGTCAATGAATAGAAAATATTTCAGAGCAAAAGAAAATATTTTTTAAATATTATTTAAATGTTATTTCAAAAAGATTTGTTTCTAATATTTAATTAACATGAAGCACATAAATTAAGAATAATTTTTCATAGTACCAAAACTTTTTGTATTTATATATAACACCATTAACACCCAAAACGTTATTAATATATTATTTTTAATAAGTGTGAACAAACTTTA